TTGTTACCCATTTATCAGGTATTTTTTATTGTTTCCAATTATTTTAGCTCCCAAGAAGACACAATGAGATTAGCTTTGGTTTAATTAAATAGCAAAGAAGTGTAATTTATTTATTGTGCACAGCGGCTGTTAACTAGACCTTCTGCTGGAAAATGAATCAAAGAAACAAACATCTCAATGCAGCTTATAAACTACAGCCAGAAATACTTAAGTGTGGAGAGATGAAGACATTGACAATACGCTCAAAACAAATGGACCAAAACACCTCATAATGACTGCCAGTGAGGAGTAAGATTGATGAGAGAGGTTAAAGAAGTGAAGAGACTAATCTTTGAACACAGCAGTGTTTCTCTTAATTAAAAAGGGGCAAGATCATCTGCTCAGTGTTTCATAAGAAAGTGTTAATGAATGGCTTTTCAGAGCATGTGGAGCATGAGATATTCGCCACCGCAAGTCTCATTCTGATTCAACATGATCATATATCACATATTTAACAACATAGACTCTCATATAGATGCCTACCACTGCAGTTTTTTTATTAAAGGGAGCTTGAAACTACTCAAGGAACCAAGTTCCCCCCTCCAATGTTTCAAATACTCAGGAAACTGTCAGAAGGTCTTTTCTCAAACAAAGTCAGAAAAGTGCAGTAAAGGTGGAATTTATTAGTAGAGGCCCCTCCATGGTCTAGTGCCAAAACATTCGCACAAATGTGAAAAATAATGAGAAATATTATTTGCAGAAAATGAATCTGATGACCAACAAGGCAAAAGTTTAACCCTAACTCATGAATACGAACAGATAAAAAACAGCAATGCAAAATGAGTTTGAACAGTTGTTACCTTCAGTTTGACTTCATCAAGATATTTTTTTGGGAAAGACAGCTTTGATTCAATCCTACAACTCCTTACATTGGGCCTTACATAACAAAATGATGCCTCTCATTATTTAAGCGACTTTTAATCTTTTAAAACCCATTTTGTGATCATGTATTGTAAACTTTAACTTTTATTTTACATTAGATAACCACATTTTGATGGAGTTAATGAAACAACTAAGATAAGATTACAGTTCTCAAAACCTCTGACTACATCGACATAAAGTAGTTTTATTAGTTTAATTTTTGTTTTGATCATGTCATTTCTCATTAAAATCTTTCTTTAACTTTAAATCTTACCTTTAAAACCTAATAGTCAGCATTGATATATCCAGCCATTTGAATTGTTTTTTAAAAGCAAGAAGATACCATAAAATCTTTCGGATATAAATGTCAGTTTACATTAGACTCAGCAATGAGCAATTCCCATAGCTCATCCAGGTAACATCTGTCATCACCTCCTCATCTGGTAGTTGAGCATTATTATTGACAAAGTATTGATGGACCTCCTGCCTAATACCACTTTAACTTGTTCTATCTTCTTCTGCAAGATTCTTCTTGTCTGAAATCAAAGTCTATTCAGATAAGGAGAAAGGAAAAAATACTAAAAAGTGGCACCATTAGACTGGTCTGCATCTCAATGTATCAGGCATGCTTGGTGCAGCTGAGTGGTTGCTTGCTTCTTTCAGGGCCACCCACCAAGTAAAATACTTTAATACAATAATAATCCCTCTGCATTTTTTGCTATATAAAAGTATATTGGGTGCAAAGATGTATTGGATGCAGCTCATTATAACAAAAACAAAATAGATGTCCTATGCACCCAACTTTATGACATTTTACATAAAGTAGTTTTATTAGTTTAATTTTTGTTGACCTTGTGATCGATTTTGATGGATTTACCACACATATGATAGAAATCCTAATCTCTCATTTCGAATCCTCATTTCTGTAGAAAATAAATGGCTTTTCAGACGCTGACTTCCTTACTATATTCCCCCAGTTTGTCATGAACTTAGTCTGTTAGGTTTTTATCATAACATAGACTCACTCTGCACAGTAACCAGATTAAGGGGGGCGGTTCTTGGTGGAAATACAGCTAGGAGCTCTTTTCTCTGAAGACAGCTGATCTAGTGATACAAAACACTACATATAGCATACTGTATCTACTTTTTGTAGTGGGTATAATTAAAAACCAGGTGTTTTTAAGAAGGATGACATGACCTCAATCCTTAAAGCAGCCATGCTTTGATCTCTGCCTGATATATTTTAGATCCATGTACTTTTATAAACCCTGTGTCACCAAGAGACTCAAATAAGTCAGTTTACACAAAGCCCTCTGGTGTTAATGCAGACATATTTTGCATGATGCTTATTGGGGAGGTTTATAGGTCTATAAATCTAATTTATTTGCATATGTATCCATAAAATACCACCTACGCAGCTTTTTAACTGCACCGTATATGTCTGTAGCCCTCCCCCACACAAATTTGAGTTGTGATGGTAAAGTCTGATGGATGACAAGATTTGCTCACTGCTCCTCGTCTTTGTTTGAGCATGTAGGCTGTGTAGCAGGACCCCTGATGTTTTCTAAGGATGACAACTTCAGGTGTTGCTTCAGAGACCTGTCTCTTCTTGCTGTAGATCACTATCTGCCACTGCAGTGAAAAATGTCACCTCATGTGTCTCATAAGATGTTACTCATTTGTACACCCGATGATTTTCTATGAAACCAATGAATAAATCATAAATAACTGACAGACTAATAGAGCTAATAGTAAATGCGGGGCCAGGACAACAGTGTGTAGACTGTGACAGGAACACATACACAGGTATAGAAAGTATTAGGAAATTACAGTGCATGGTGATAATGGCCTATATAATGCAGCCTCATATCAAAACAACAAAAGCACAAATAAATACTGACTGTAATGGGCATCCAAACTAATATGGCTGCCCTCACAGATGTGCATCAAAGTGCTTTTTACCTATCCATTTTCCATTTTCTCATTTACACCTTATTTACCACCTCGCCAATCTCATTTGCATTGTAATGATGAGACTGCATGCATACAAAATAGCTTTTTAAAAATGGTTTAATAGCCCTAAATATATTCATGAGATTCCCAGGAGAGTCCTGCAGTCCTGTCAGAGTGGGAACCAACAGCCAGTGCAAATAAAAATGACTGTAAAAACATATAAACCGCTGTTCTTCTCAAACTGGTGAATGCAAGGTTAAGACAAAAACTTCGATTCTGAGGCATGTGGAGGTAAGGCTCAAATATATGTGAGTTTGAAACAGAAAGGGAAACATCTATCTACTCTGATGTGTTTGCTGATTTACTCAAAAGGTCTAAATTGAATTATTCTGATTCAGGTAACTGTCTGAGATGTGATGAGGGTTTTAAGTGAGATCCGTAAGTGCTTATACATCTTCTAGAAGCTGGTTAGCATTTTTAATCCCGTCATAAAAACCTGTCTCATCACCAATGTTAAACTAAAAGAGATGAGTCAGAGTCTGGGACTGCTATGGTGAATAAAAGCTTTGATAATGTCATTTTGCCCATTATGAACGCTGTAAATCATCAGAGCACTTACAAAGGTTGGATATTACAGAGCTGACCAGTGCAGCCTTGACACAAGTTCAAGATATTTTACAAATAGCAATATTTTTCTATCAGTGCAAAGGGTTGGATAAGATAGGGATGTAAAAGAGATGAAACAGAGCTGTCAAAGTGACTGTGTTTTTATCTTTCGATTTATATCTTTGATGCTTGTAAACTGGGACAAGGACAATAGTCCACTTAAATCACCCAATCGAGTTATAACCATAGCTGAGCTTGACTAACAGTTAAGTCGAGCTCCTTAGGACCAACTGCATTTAATTGGTTTAAGTCTGTTTGCAGTTATTGTTCATCCTACTCATGTAGCAAGGGCTGCACAGATGACAACACTAAGGTCATGTTTTCTGCATTTTTGGTGTACAATATGGGGGATTTAGCATTTCATTTAAAGTGAAATAGAAATAACACCTGGTGGGTATGGTACAGACTACTATCATCAGCTCTTTTAGGCTCAAACCATTTTGGACAAATTGAATCTATCTCAAACTACTGGTTGGATCTTGTTTGAGCTCACTGTTGTAGCCATAGTGTATCGAGGCAAACAAGACAGATGACCACTTTACATCAGCACATTTGCTTAAAAGATTGGCTAAAAGTTTTGTACATACATTTTTGGTCCCAAGACTGATAATCTCTGTGGTTTTAGTGATCATCTGACTCTCCCTGTCTGAATCAAGCAGATAGAGCTTATGCTAAAGATTGAAATGCCCCAGCGATCACTGAATACAATTTAGAGCAATTATGTACAAACAGTTCATGGTCTGATCTGTAGTCCCTGACATTTGCCCTTTTACCATCATGAAATTATGTGTTTTGGCTTGTCTGCTAAACCCTCTTCAGCTGCTGAAATACCTGAAAAACTAGGATGTGATGTCCATCAGTCTCCTGTGTGCTAGGCTAACACTAGCGATGAGCTTAACTTATAAGATTTACATAAGGATTTAGTTTGCTTACGTTAGCAATGGCTCAAAGTATGACTGTACTTTGTAGCAGATCACAGCTGCTAGCAAAACTGGAGACTGCTAGCTTGCCTCACTTGAACCTTAATTTAAGCTAACTAAGGGAATCAAAGTGTGCTGATAAAAATCTTACCTGTTTGCACATGACGCAGTTATGTTATTAAACTCAGAATACTCTTTTTATTATTTTTAATTGTACTACATTATGCTTAATGTCATGGTGATACCTTGTGGGTTTGTCATTTTAGCTCACAAAGAGAACTGTAACAGCCTAAAAGTTGTCTTAAAACCCATTTTTATTCATTGGCTTTTAACCCTGCATGAGACTCGGCTCCTGTTTTAGTGTTTTATGGTTTGTTTTTAGTTATTTGTTTCTATGTTTTTAAATAAGTTTTTAAATACATTGAAACTATATTTTACTTTTAATTCTGCTTTTATTTTATCCATTGTTTTAATTGTTTTTTGATTGTTTTTTTATCTTGTTGTTTTGTCTAGTTATGTACAGCACTTGGTTCAGCTGGTTTGCTAACAGGGTGCCCAGTGATTCAGATTGGAGCCCAAATCTCATCCTGTAGTGCATTTAAACTCAATTTTTTTTAAAATCTAGAATGGAATAGTTATTAAATGTTAGAAGGTTTTCTTTCAGGGAATATCATTTAAATGTTGAATTAAATAAATAGTGTGAGTTGATTCAGCATTTGGCTGCCACTGTTTTTGAAGCTTTCTAAACTATAACTTTGCCTAAACTTAACTTTAAAGTTACCAACAGTACAACACCAAGTTTTGAGTGGTGTGGATTGGTTTAAATGCAAATCTTGATTTAATTCAGATCCTCTGCCCGAAGGATAGGTGTATTTTATTAGAAAACCTTTGCCTTTTGCATATATTGGTGAAGTTTCTATCTTGTAGCAAGTGGCTGCCATTTCAATTTACAGCTTTGAGTGCACTGTTGTTCTTTTTAAGTCACACACACCAATGAATTACTGGCAAAACTTTGGCATGGTGCTCAGTTTAGGCTAAGCTGGAGTTAAGTACGGCATAAAACAGCAACATCAAAAACACAACTGAGGAAGTGTGAAGTAAGAAAGAGAGGCAGAGGAAGAAAGCTGTAGTATTTAATTCACCCAACACTTCTTAATTGGATTTTGCTTTGAAGTCCGATACCAGTCACCAAGGGGAGGAAAATGAAGAGCCTTTCTTAAGGGAGATTTGTTTTATAGCTGGTTTAATGTTCCACATTTGCCTGTTAACTGGAGACTGGGATTCAAATTTCTTTTACAGAGGTGGTTTTATACTCTTTATGCATATTTTAAATGCAAATAATTATGTTGTTGACAATAAAATATGGGCAAAGTTTCAAACTGTGAGGTAAACATTCATTGGAATAATCCCAGGATGAGACTATAGGCTGCTCTGTTAAAAAAGTCACATTAAAAATTCAGTGAGAGGGACACAAGAGTGACAGTGTGGACCCGCTGCACGCAGCTAAACCACCCACTTCTGCTGCTCCGTTTATAACCTTGAATTAAGGAGTCTATTTAAACAAACCAGCCCCGAAAATTTATTCACTTTACATCACACTACCACCTTCTTTAACATGCCTGATTTTGACATAATGAGGAGGAAAAATGTTAAATACCCTGCTGCCAGGTATCCCAGAATAGTTTGTGCACAATTAGAAGGAAAGCATTTGCACATGCTCTTCACTGGATAGGAAGAGCATGTGCAAATGCTTGTTCCATCATTGATTGAGGAATCCCTATAAAATTAATAATCTTAATATTTCCCCAGACTGAAAGAATTTGCTTGTTCTTTGTCACTGGTGTTTTCTTTCCAATTTACAAGTTGGATTTAGAGTCCAAATCATAAGGACATTTTGATTAAAAATGTGATATTTTTTGTAGAGAAACACTTGAATTACTTTGTTGCATGGCAACAGATAAGAGCTGGCCAAACTGGAAAAAAAAAACTGGGATAAACTGTTTTTTCAAGTGTTACTCAAAGCTACTACAAAGAGGGACAATACAAAGCATAATGAGTCTAATACCCTTTCTCTAAACAAATGAATGCCTTGATTTGATTTTTCTTTTCTTTTTCTAGCTGCTGAGGTGGAAAAAAATAAGTTATGCAGCAGAAAGAAATACAATCCGTCAACTAGATTTCATTGGAGATAAACTGAACTGTATGTCAGCACTTGAATTTGTATATTCTCAAAATCCCACACTCCTTTAATCTACTTGAAGGAATGTTTGGCAGGATATTAATCTATCTGGGGAAAGTAAGGCATTCTTAAAACATGTTTTTTTTTTCCAAGATGTGTTCCGTGTCAGTTCATGCTTTTATTCTGTCTCAGTGGATTACCAAACACTGAAATCCCTCAATTCTAAAAACAGCAAATGACATAAACAAACCTCACATTTTTTAATACAGTGCTTATGGCATAGTGACAAAGAAAAAAAACCCAGTTCTTTTATTGTTTTTATTCCTGTTGAACACGCTGATTTAGAGAAGAAAACGAGTCAAAGTAAATGTCTGCTGAGTTTTGTCTCTCAGTCTTACTCTTTTTCTTCTTGAGATGATGAGACTAAACTGCATTGTTGCCTGTTTTGGTGAAACAAAGCACCTTCAGTAGGAGTTTGATGCAGATGTACACATTGTTTGGTTTTCAATGCCAGACATACCTAGAGGACTGACTGAGAGAAAAACAGCCCATTAGTCCCAAACTGCATCCTCATTTTGAACCAACATCCAATTTTGAGTGGAAGCAAACTAACAGCGAGGAACTGTTTGTCATTGCCAATCAAACCATTGCTTTTCCTCCCCTTAAAGTCCCTTTCAATCCGTGCTGGCTCATTTTTGGAGATAAAAAATAGTCTGGTTCCTGCCACAGAAATGTCTGCAGAGTGAAATCCGATGCCCTTGCATGGGAAGTTAAGAACTGCCAAGAGGGAATTTGTAGTGCTTTAAATTAAATCAGCTTTGGGAGAGATAACACATTTGGTTACTGTCACGTACAACTAGGGAAACAGGAACACAGGAAGAAGGACCCAAAAGGCAGAGTGTGACAGCTGAGCCATTGCAGCTCAAATCCTTCATCAAAGACACAAAAGGCAATAACATGAGGCTTAGGCTATATGAAGAGGGCAAGGGTTGAGACCCGGAGTCCAATACAGACAAACAAATCCAAAGGGAAAAAAGGCAGAAAGTCAAAAGCTCTGAAATGCACAAGGTTCAGGGAGGTCCATAAACACACCAGGGTGACTCACTGCGCAAGGCTTGTACACTTGGCAAAAGTTTAACTGGATAACCAGAAAAACACACAGTGGTGGTACAGTGGGGAGATGAAGGGAATAAGCCAATGAAGACACAATCCCAGGAGCAGGAAAGACAAGAGAAAAGTGGGGGGTGCTTCATAATTCTCAGTTCATATATCCACAGTACGGGCTCCTCCAGAACCACTGCCCTCTTGTTACACACTTCCACTTAAACGGATGGTAGACCACTAAAACCACAAACTATGAGGCTGATTCTGCACCAGTGCTGACATCTCCAGAATGTGGAGTGTCATGTTGTTTCATCATGGTTAGATCCCAGCACTAAAGTTCTATGTCACTAGAACTTAAGTCCCTGTCACACATGCAGAAAAGAGGTCATGTTGAACTGCTGTGTGATTGAGGCAGGTAGAAGTCCAGAAAATTCAGTAGGAAAAGTGATGATGTTTGTGCTGAGCTGAGTTTCTTTGCTCTGCACTCTTTATTTCTCAACTTCTTTGTCAGCATTATGCTATATTACATTTTTCTACTGTTTCAACCTACACACACCATAAACCAACAACATATTTAACATCAGCACCTGTATACATTATAATTATCTGGAGTTCATGAATAAAAAAGGGCCAAAGAAACATTCAGCAGTTTGCAGCAGTGGTGTATTTTGGTTGTTTCAGGGGAAGGGCCAAAGCACCAGCTGTATGCTGAGAGGCATCAGAGTGTGGAAAATTGTGATTAATAAACTGCTTGAGCAGAAAACCCTTTTATGAGCTCCAAGGGTTTCCTTCTGTCCATGGCATTTTGCAACTGTTGGGTAAGCTGCACATCAAACTAACTCTTGCCCGTCTTTGAGCACACCTCTGCAATACAGATATTTCCAGAGGTGCTTGTAAGGACTGAGCAGATTATGAACACCATACTGAAACTTATAAAGTGATCACCAAAAAATGAAATGTTGATAAAAGCTTGGGACCATTTCTTTTTCTTATTAGGGTGATTACTGTTGATGCTTAATGAGTCCGTTTGACTGGTAGTGATATAGCTTTTCTTATTCGTGTAACATGAAACAAGTTTTTATTCAAGAGAGAAGAGTTTGTCCAGGAGCTTGCTGCTCTATCCAATCCTTCTGTCTTTATCAGGAAGTTTCATTCAGCTATGAGCGTGACTTCAAATATGACTTGGAATATTAATTACATGCTTCATTAACGGTGAGGTAGGAAAGATTACGTTAAAGAAGCATCTTTTTTGTGGTGTATATACAAAAAAGCTTTTAATATCAGTCAATAGCTATTGGTATTTATGACATTTGGTAATATAATGATATCACTGTGTTTTGTTATGTCTGTGTATTTAACATTTAAATTTTTTGAGCGGCCCGCACTTTCTGACTGTAAACAAAGCCATTCTCTGCCTCCCCTAACCTGATTGGTTGTGAGGCAGACGCTGCTGCCCCGTGTCGTTCACAAGCCCAAACAAAGTTAGCATGCTACAATATCAGACAGTAGAAACCAACAAAAAAGTATGGAAAATTGTCTGAATCCTCCTTTGGTCGCGACTGCCGACACAAGCAAGAAAACGAAATAAATACCGGAGACAGAGGTAGACTGGACAAGAGCCAAGAAGCCAAGAAGCCAGGTCAACATCAGCATAAACAATGGGGGAGGCTTCGGGATCTTTCTGCTGGACAGGTAAACCACTTTAACAAAGTAAACCAAGTGTCTGTAACAGAAGTGTTTCTTGTCAGTCAGGACCTGCTGCGTGTTGTGGCTCCGCTAAACTGTTTACCTCGGGTCCTGGAATATGTCACTTTATGCTAGTTGTAGAAGTCCTGCAAACATTGTTTTTGCTGGTAGTCTGTTGGCATCTACAGTAGCACCAATGCTTTTTACTTTCACGTTGACTGGGCCCCATTTGTAATTATTAGAAGTATTTATCTGCATTATATCTGAATTTAATTGAAACAATACGAGTGAGCAGGAGCGTCTGTTTGTGGGCGGGGCTTGCTGGAGCAGGGAGGGAGGGGAGAGGACGAGCTGAGGGGAAAACTGGTTGGGAGGGGTTGAGTTTACATTCAAGATTTCTCCCAAAAACTGGCCCTTCCTCAGATCCTGCCTACCCCACCTTTAATACGGGCCTACTGCAAAAGCCCTAATTCAAACATATTCATGAGGAAGAAGGTAAATTAAAAAAAACAATAACAAAAAACAACTGTAACGGGAAATGGTTACTGAGGACTGAAAAATCTGTAAAACATTTGGTCCAGGAATTATAGACTATAAGTAGAAAACATGAATGAGAGAAGCCATGTTTGTAAACTAGCCAAGGCAACTAATGACACCATTGAGCTGCTATTCAGTAAGAGGTTTTGGCCCCATTTATAATGAGATTTTCACCAAAGAAATACGAAGGCTGGATCATTTCATGCCTATTTTCCTGACAACTCTGATATGAAACAACACATTTGGGCACCCAGCCTCTTTTGACCCAGACAGACCAACAGTAATCCCTGAGATCAAACATGCCGCTTATTGTTGACGCACTGCTGCACTTTTCTGATTTTAAAGCACTGAAGGTCATTATGAGTCACCAAACACCAACAAAACACAAAGGCATCGTGTCTGCTTTATCAAAAAAACACAGAACACAAGACTTTCCTCCCTCTGGCTGCCAACAAAGAGAAACTTGGGAGTTTTTAGCAGGAGATTCTTTTGTCTGTATCAGAGACTATCTTGGTGTTCTTGTGCTCCCCCACAGTGCTCAGAGTCCCTGTGCTCGGATTTCTGTTGTGTTTCATTTATATCTTTTAAAGTGAAGGAAAGTTAGAGCAATCGATGCACTGATCTCTAAAAGATATGCAGGTCTGACAGACTGCCCTTGCTGAGGAAGAAATCAAGAGTAAAAGCATGAAAATTAGGGTAAACTTGCAGACAGATGGGAGTCTGTATGAATATATCAGGGGCACAGCTTACATTTTTCTCCCTGTGTATTCCCCAGTGTTAAACTATATTTTGAAGGCATGTCTTTATGCCTCTGTCTATGCTTTTGCCATAGACAGAGGTCGCAATGAGTCATGCATGTATTGATAAAACGGCTGATATTCATCACAATAAAAGTCCGAGACAATGACTATAAAAGTCACAGGAGTCAAGTTCTTTCTGACCAAACAAGAACAGTCAATTATATTTCTGCAGCCTTGAATTACAACTTAACTTTTAAAAGCTGCACACTTCAGAGAGCATTTCAGAACAGGGAACTGTGCAGTTGTGCAATTATACTTATACATTAACACAAAAAAGCTTGTTGGTGTGCAATCAGAGGCCAATGAACTCACTGACTTTGTTTAAATACTCAAATTTTTCCTATTACCTAATAGGTATTAAAAACACGTCTCATGAGTACAGTAACACTTTGCTGTTTCCACACTGAGCCGTGAAGTGATCAGCTACACTTTTCAGGAAAGTAAGTCTGACATTTTGTGAAGTAAGCCTTCTGATAGAGCACTCCCTGAGCTGCCTGCTGTGGGATTTAAGAAGCTTTAAACTAATACCCTGTCATACATTTCCCACGTCCCACCAAGTTTTCTGTAGGGTATCCTTATATAACACCCACCATTTTATAACGTTTACTTTTGTTTCCTAAGAGGTTTCCATACATCAGCTTCTTACCATGTTGACTCTACAGGTCATCTTGACCTCTTCCTTGTACTTTGTATTTTCAGAGAGTTCAGACCTCATGTGCAGGTCGTAAATGTTTGGAGTGCTGCCTTGAGACATCAGTTTGGTTGAGTGTGCGATAAATCTGATGGTTAACTCTGACTGGTCTTTGCTCTGTCTATTAGGTGCTGGAGAAGTGTAAATGTCTGGTTCAGAGGCTGATACTCACTAACTAGAAATAGACCGGATAGAAAAGAGCGGAGTGGAGAAACAAGAAAAATGCAGATTAGGGCTGGGCGATATGGGAAAAGGTTTATCACGATATATTTTTTTCATATCAGTGGATATAAAAAATGAAATTTAACAGCATTTATTGGTAGCATGTTTTTGCAATACAATAAGCTACTGCATCTGTGAGGTCTTTGTGTCTCTTTGACGTTTTGTTGGAAGACATTGCGCTAGAGAAAGTGGACTGAATGGTCAGCTGTTTTGGCTGCACAGGCGCTATGGGCTCCTTTCTTTGCTTGGGGTTTGTAACCTTTTGCGTTGTGCGTGCTCTGCCGCATGGTACTGCTTCAGGTGGTGAAAAAGATTTGGGGTATTCCCCGAATTTACAAGAACATATACTTGACATAATTTTTAGTGCACATTACTCTGCTTCATGTCTGACCACAAAAAAACAAAATACCTCACAGGCTTTACCTGTAAAAGTGCTATGGTTGTGTGTAGCTGCAGTCTGCAACTACGCAGTTGTTATCTACTTGGTTCTAATTCAACATGATTGGTTCAGCCTGACACTGACCTGAAGCAACTCCCCTTTTCATTGGCTATTCTTATAGTCTACCAAAACATGGCAGAATGAAGACTATTGAAAAGCTTGTTGACCATGTTTTATATTGATATTGAGGGTAATTAATTTTTGATATACACTGTTATCATTTTATCGCACAGCCCTATTGCAGATATATGTACTGTACTCTTGACTTAGTGGGTGGGGGTTCAAGAACTTAAATGCAGACTTAAAACACTACAGCTCAGCTGGAAAGTGAACTCATCCCAGGTGACACTTTGAATAGATGTTTCTTTATATTGCACAATATTGGAGCTGATTAGTGTATGTTTATGTGTATTTGAGCTGTATATAGAAGTCAGAATTGGTTGAGAACTGCAAGGTGTAGATATATGCAGACTGATCATGGTTGGGGTTCAAAAAATTTAATCCCCAAGAAGAAAAAACAAAGTCTTCTGGTAAAAACAGGAGAGCACTGAGACAACTCACACAAAGCTGAAGGGTTTTTAAAAGGTGAAAACACAGGAGAGCCACAATGAAACATATTCACACAAGAAATGAACATGCAAAGAAACAGAGGATGAAAAAGACCATGCATGGAGTAATCAAGGACAGGTGGGATTCATGAGAGAGAGGTGAAACTAAAAAGGGCAGGACACACAATAACAAAGGCAAAGTCACAAAGGAAGTAAAGTAACATGAGATACACAAAGTGACAAAAGTGATAAACACAAAAGAACAACTGAATATAAGTATCTCAAGGTCCTCTACATAATGTACCATGCAAATGATTTATTTGACTTTGTAGTCACATGATCTCTTCCCAATACCCATGGGAAGGTTTGAGAAAATCCATGCTAATCAGCGCTGAAGGCATCCAGGGTGAAAGCACTAAGATGGGTCATAAGACGAGGATCAAATGACTCCCTGGGGACACTTGCACATATAAAAGTTGAGCTCTACATGGTGCGTACTTAAGACTAAGGATACCCTGTACAGACTTCACTGTCTTCAGACGCAAAATGATAAAATAGGGAGCCTGGGTAATAGAGGAACTCGCTTTGAAAGGATGATCAAGCCGGAGGAATGGTAGACAGGGTGATGAAAAACTGGAACAAGGCGCAGTGGTTGTTTCAATCACATAGTTTATGTATTTTGTATTGTTACTATAGTGAATATGGCTTCCTGAATTACCAAAATGGGTGCCAGTTTTTAATTTATCAGACCACAGGAAAGTTTTGCCCTTCGCCCCAGTCCAACTTGGCTGAGGCTCGGAGAAGTTCTCAGCGTTTCATATACCATCATGTTGGTATATGGTGTGTATGGTTTCTGCAGGGTAGTTTTAACCCAAGTACATGTTCTCACATGTACGTCGCTTTGGATAAAAGTGTCTGCTAAATGATAAGTGTTTTTGGATGCAGCGACAAACTGTATTCACAGGTTGTGGTTTTTGGATCGGATTTTGAGCCAATGCAGTGAGTTCCCTAACAAAGTCACATGTATTTTTTTATCCATGACTATTTTCTTCAAATCTTCATAAGATATTTCTTTCTGTACTTTGCAATTTTACACTGAGGAGCGGATTCTAAAACTACTGAACTATTTTCTCACTCAGCCTCTCACAGTGTTGAATATCTTCCCTTTTTTTCCTTCTAATGCTGCGTTCCAGTTGTACTTCGAAGTCGGAATTTCCAAGGTCCGAGTCGGAAATTCATCTGGAACGCCCCCCTGAAGTTTGATTTTCGACTCGGAAAGTCAGACGATGCTCACCAAACCTGACTTGACGACAACGTCACATGTCATATGGCAGCGCAGTGCATCACCAGTTAAGAGTAACAATGAAAACTCTCATAATGTATTATTTATTAGCACTTCTGTTTTGTTTTTGTGAAATTAAATAAGTGGTATTTGTTGTTCTGCCCAACGTTTAACTGTGAACACGGTGCTATGGTGTTTGTAAGAGTAAAATACTGTGTTTTGGATTGTTTACAACTGGTACCGCTAACAACAACTAACAACCGCTGACAACGGCTAACGGCCGCTGACAATTGTAAACAACAGCAAACAACAGGTAACTCTAGGCGTCCATCTTGGTTTTCCGACTTGTTAACTGGAATGCAGTCATCTCGGGTGTAACGTCATTCCCAGCTCCGACATCTGACTTCCGAGGTAACTTGAATGCAGCATAAGAGACTCAGCCCCCCTGTTATGCCCTTTTTATATCCACATGTTGCTAAGTAGTTGCATATTAACCTTGTGAATCGGGAGATGTTCCTACAATTTTTTTTATATCGTTATAAAACTTTTTCAAGTTGTACTGTTGGATTAATGTAATGAATACATTTTTTAAACACACTGACAGGGATGCTATATTGACCATTAAGGGTATGATAGTGTATGGTTATAGCTGCAGCCTGGGTTTGGCCCCTTTTGTTCCAATAACAACTTCCTGTTACATTACAAAAAAAAAAAAAAACTGAAGAGAAGAAGAAAACAGTTCAAAGATATAAAACGGTTCAGTTTTAAACTACTGCATGATTATTTAACTCACTTTGCTCATTCGAAAAAGTGAACTACTCTGTTTTTGTAATTATCAGCTTCCTGCTCCAATCCATCTTTGAGATGAAGTAGAGAGCTCGATGAGCTAAACACCGTAATGACTTGCTGCTGATAGCGCCATCATTTGAATAGAATGAATAATTTGACTTTTAACCATCTGCCCTCTCATTTGAAAAAATAAATGAATGTCACAAACAAACAAACAGTTTTTTTTCCAGACTTGAAACACCCTATTATCACAACTCTTTTCATTATACTTGAATCATTCATTTAGCAAGTGATAAAAGCAATCCACTATTATTTCCCCACTTTAGTATTTACTGAAAACAGCCACATTCAGAGTGACTCATGTGTTACCCTCTATTAACTGCCTTTCACACCATGATATTAAAATACTTTTTTTCCATTTCCTGAAGCAAAATTCACCCTTTTTCATCTCGATCAATTACACTAAACTGTTCTGCGGTTTGCACAAATTTCCTTCCACTGATATGGTCAGCCTCCAACTTTCCATCAAAGACTGTGAACAGCAGATCTGCAGTGGTTTTTGACCCCAAGGCCCCGTGTTTGATTCCAGTAAAGCACTACCTCCCACTCTTTTCCTTCCGCAAAGAAAATACGGCCTTCTTAGTTTGTTTCAGTGCACTTCCCACCACTTTACACAGCCTGCAGCCAATTTTCAAGAATGAATAGTCATAATAAAAGGAAATGCTTCCAGCACCGTTGGAGTGGCTCAGTGGGAGCTTTCATACAACATGTCTACTCTCATCAGCTGTAGTGTAATCCCTTGTCAAAAAACACTGGACCTGTTGTCACTGAATTCAACATGCAACTGCCTATCAATAGCAAATGCTTTTATGTTTAAATGTGCTGAACAGTAAATCACACTGCCGTTCACGTGTAAGAGTTGACATAAATAAGCAAAATAAGCATTATAACCTACATCTGCAATGAAGTGGCTTAAAGGAGACGTGTCACGCTGATGGGTATTCCACATGTAAAGTCACAGTGCTGAGTGTCCACACTAAACCTCTCCAAAGTTGTTAACAACATGAGATGCACAGGTATTGGTGTATTCCCTGGATGTGTTTTGTAGCTTCCAAAGCAATTTGGCTGCTCTTTCAAGAAAATAGGAAGAGGTGTCCTGTACATCTTCACTTATTTTCTCTTATACATGTTTAGGTAGTGTTTTCTGACAAGAAGTTTCACCCTGCTAAATTTTAACAACAAATTATCACTCACTGTTAGGGCTGAAAGATTTTGGAAAATAATCTAATTGAGATTTTTTTCGTCAATATTGCGATTGTGATTTAATATACGATTATTTTTTCAAGGTCCTCTTCTAATGTATTTTTTTTTCAATAAATCAATCTGTATTAAAGTAAACAAAATATCAGATTTATTGTATATACATTTTTCGTTCTGGCAATTATCATTACACACACACACACACACACACAAAACCATGCTCTGTATGCTCACACACTATTGCGCACACACATGCATGGCCAACATATATTTCATGACATTAATCTACATACTGATGGTGGGATGTAATCGGTGCCCACAACATTGGAGCAGGGTCTTTTCATTCAGCTGTGCTGCCATCACCGTATTGGATGTTTTTTCTGTCGTTATGCAAACATGGTTTGAAGTTGAAGCGCTGGTCACTGGGGTTTTGACCAACTATTGTTCATGGTTTGTTGCGTTTTTTCAAAGTTTTAATAAAGGTTCGTACTGTTACCTGCTGATGTAGCAACAGTAGGGTGACCATACGTCCTCTTTTACCCAGACATGTCATCTTTTTGGGGGTCTGTCCAGCCTTGTCCGGCTTTTTCCGGGGAAGATTATAAAATCCTTCAAATGTTTTGGGTTTTGTATGGAAATTTCAAGTTTGTGTAGCATGGACTTCCTGAGTTAGAGGCGCGTAAAAAATAAAATAAATCCACACAATTGCCATGCTGCCCCTTTTTGGTACTTAACTTTCTGCAGTGTCAGCTTCTGTAGCTGAATTAGGCCATAGTGTGACAGAGTGCACTGTTGACTTCTCTCTCTTCCTGATCTGCTTCACTTTGCTCGCAAGCCATGTGACCAGATCACATGACCAGTCAAAATCACAGCCTTTGCGGTTAGAAAATCGTGTTTTATCACATCACGATGTAGTCGCAAATGCGATTAATTGATCAGCCCTACTCACTGTGGATGCTTGCTGTGGAAATAATTTCTTCAGTAGGCTGTGGATTGGCTCGTCTGACACCTACCCCCCTAACTGTGGTTGCAGACATATCACTTGTGCCGCAGGTCGTACAGGGGCACAACTCCGAATTTTAGTCTGTTTCATGACTAGACAAAAACTCCTCACAGGAGCCTTCACCTCTGGACTGTTTTGTGACTTCAGACCTTGGTTTATATTCATGATTCAAGGTAGTGGGCTATTATTTGCAGTGTGATGTTTTCAAGCACTCTTGTTGAGCTGTATTCTCATTTTATTCACAGATTCTGCATAAAATTGCTGCTTAGCTCTTTGAACTTGCAATCTCCCTTACTGGTTTCTATACTGGGGTTTTGAAGCTCAGTGATGGTGGTCACCGTACTGGGAATGCTGATTCAATTCGACCTTTAGTCTGTCTGTAATCTGGACATTAAAGTTGTTTAATTTTGCTGTGAAATAAACATAATTATTTCATTTTTATATCCTCTGCAGCCAAAAAGCAACTGCTACCTAATGAAGCCATTTTTTTGTCTCTGAGATGAATTGGCTCTTACATCTGCTGTCTCCAGTATTAAATTTTTATGTTAATTCCACAGATGGTTTTATAGTGACAATGACTTGAATTGTGTTTGCTTGTGGTTGTGGTTGTATTCTTTTTGGGGGGGACAATAGAATCCAGGTTCTCTGTTGTGTTGTAAGCGCCCCCCACCATCTCATACACCTGATTTGTATGCTGCTCGAGGAGCTGCATGAAGCAGGCTGCAGCTTATGCAGCGGGCTTTGCTGTCTTAACAATGTTGACATCTGATGGATTGCTGCAGCTAGGATGAATATATTGCTGTGATCGTTCATCTTGCCAACTGTGACACATGAGTACAACGGGGCATAACTCAAGGTGCATCAAGTGTTGTTGACAAAAGACTCGACATTCCTCAAGGTCAAACAAACAGACATCAGGTCTTAGAGCTAAAATAGAAATTAAGACACGGCTAAAAGCAACCTGGAGATGAGAGAGTTATTAGGTGTCTTTATTAAGAGCGGTTAAAGTTTATCGATGGTGTATCTGACAGCATTTTAATTAAATATAAACCTGAGAGAGTTTTACAAACTGCTCAATGACTTTAAAAAATTATCAACTAGGTTGTTTGTGGACAAAACATCAGAACAGCTGTGTGTACACTATTTCTTCCTGCAGTTATCTCAAGATATTGGCTAAAGTATTAATTATAAAAAGCTAAATAAGCATGTTTTCGCCAGATAACAAGATCATGCATCAAACGAGTTAAAAATCTGTGCTGGGTGATTTATTCACTTCTGATTCCAACCTTCTTGAATCATGTTGTGACGGAGAGGATCACAGCTGGCTTTCAGAACAAGCACTGGCATATAGTAGGCTATCTCAGGAAGCACACAGTGCAGTGTCTGCCTGTGCTACACCTTGATTGAAGAACAGTCTGATGTGTTGATCAATAATGGGTGTTTTTTGATCTGACATTTTTCAGCTTGAATCAGCTGCTACACTTATCAGCTGGCTGTCTGTGCACGCTGGCCTGATGACTCTCCTGATCTCTGATGAAAAAAGCCCGCTAATAAGAAGGGACACCTTTTGTAGTCTCACCATTACAGGTTCATTCCCTTGTTATTCTTTTTCAACGACAAATAAAATTGGGATTTTCGACAGAGGAGGGTAAAAATTGGGTTGCAATGCCTGTTCGTGGTTCTCGTTATTTTGTGATTTCTTTCAACAGGGTTGAAAAACAATTTCTACCTGATTGCCTTACTTATTGGAACAGGCAGTGTAGAAGCAAAAATGCAACACAACAGAATAAAAGCTTTAAGATAATCCTTTACATCAAACGCTGTTTTCAAAAATGCCTACAATACTATCAATGCGTACTGATTTGCCAAAAAAGTAGTATGTAGTGTGCAGTATGTGAACATATGTGAGAGTTGCAGTATGCCAAACATGACGTACTGATTTCACAGAATGCATCGGACCAGTCTCCTTCGTGTACTGTCACCCACAATGCAAAGCACCTGATCAGAGTTTACAGTGCCATGATGTGAATCTAACACCTCTGGATCTCAAATGAAACACTCATAAAACTTTTTCAGAGTGTAAATGGATGAAACACTGTAGGTTTTTTTTTTAATTAAGCAGTAAACTTTAACTTTGCAAGCTCTACAGACATGTGCTCAAAAGTTCCATTTAGAAAAGGGAAATCAATAAATTAATAAATAATAGGGACACTGCAATATTGCGAAACTGGACCAGTAACAAATGCATCTCAGATGTCCCATTGCTTGCTTGAGTTAAGGGTTTTAAATATTATTTTTGTTAGAGCAGGGAGTGCATTTTATTCTAATTTAACATTTATGTATATGAAACTTGCCAAGTGAGATCATCAAACTCATAATAATTCTTTGCAGGGCTCTTAAGTTTTGAACTGTACTTGGAGTGAGAATTTGTTTGGCTTGCACATGGCATGCAGCTTCTGAACTCTTGGGGAACTCACTTGATTCCTACCTGTTCCATTGTGAAAGAGGTGCAACTTGGTGGACGTCACCGTGGTCATTAAAAGGCGTGAGAAATACAATGTGTGGTGTGTGTGTGTGAACGGGTGGGAATGCATGTGTCACACGCCAAATGCATGAGACTTGAGAGCCCTGTCTTTGTTATTATGAGTATGTTTGAAATATATAATAACACTTTTAGAGTTAATAGCTATATAATATGTATTTTTATGAAGCAACAGACAACACTGTAGCATCATTTGCAATTGGCTGGGGTATGATGTACTTCTGTGTAATAAAAAACTAATAAACCGGGCTTAGTAATCTACATAATAACGGCTGACTAGCAGTCATACTGCGCAGTGCAGCTCAGTAGGTGGTTTTGACTTGATTGCAGGTGAGCTGCAGCTGTGAGCACAGGTGAGTTGAGTTGGGTGATGAGGCGGGCAGAGCAGAGCAGAGGCATGGAGACTGGGGAAATAGCAAGTGATTGTGGATGAATAGAGAAGCAGGGCTAAGACACTCATCCTCAAGCTGCTAAACTAACAGAGCAGTTATTATCTCTGTTCAAGTCTTCATATCTAAATACATGGTTCATATTGACTTCATTACATCAATAAGAGTCGCAAGTTTGGAATGGCCTTATAATAAAAAGACAAGTCTACAGGTAGACAAAGCAGGCTTGCTGTAATTGTACTTGCTTTTAACTATGCCTGCGCTTATGCATGATAGCCGCCACAAGTTCATGGGATCTTCATGTGATTTGTCAGCTTTGCATGTCCTCTAAACTTCACAACTTGGTTACGAAGATGCTGTATGTGCATAAAGTGGCTGTTATCCACATCTGTATTTCAATCGCACAACAAAAAACATGCCTGTTGTGGCTTCTACAGGCAAGGTTATAAAGAAAGTATATGTATGTCCTTTTGTTTTGTGTGTGCACACACTTGACAGATAAAGCTGGTTCTGATTTTGGGTTAAAGAGGAGTGTTTTTATTAATGTCAGTTCTTAAGTTGGAGCCATACAGGGAAAAAATATTTATTAGAAAGAAGTTTATGGTCTGTTTCTTTTCTATTTAGGACTAGTGGACCGACACTTAGGGAGTCAGATGGGTTTTGTTCTTCTAAAATGCTCAATAGACATGCATACAGGTCTTACTCTGATCATTTTATCCATGAAAACAGTGAAGTTGATTATTAGGCTGCATCTATTTAGGTTAATACAAAAAATCATGGAAAGAAAATTACTTTTCAGTGGTCTAAATAATCTACTGAATCTATGTTAATTTCGTCTCATATTTATCTAAATTTGCCCGGACCTGTAACTTCATCGCAGAATTAAAGCCTGTCAGAATTATTGATGTTTCCATGGTAACTATTACCACATCTGTGTGTGTGTGTATGTGCTGCCTTCCTTCACTTTTCTGAGACTTTGCAACAGTTCTTTCAAGCTGAATGTGATTTATATCATGTTGTCTGATAGCAGCTTGTATCAGCTCCCGGCATGTCGGCACAATCTTGTTGCAGTTCCTTCCTTATCAGGGATAACTTCTTTGGAAATGAGAGTAATTCTGGCTGTATCCAGACTTCTCTTAGAGCTCCCTGTGTTTGTGTGTGTGTGTGTATGTGTGTGTGTGTGTTTGCCTGCTAACATTAGACTACTGGGAGTAAATCTATGGGGGTGCACAGCTCACTCTTTGTGTGCACGCCTGCAGAGCTCAGATTAAACTTGAATTATCGGTGGAGGGACTGCCTGCCACTTTCTCCTCCTCAATCATAGGGGTTCATCTCTGGCTTGTTATTGCTGTTTTGGCTCCACAGAAAAGGAACTGCAGCAGTCCACCGTGTATCTCAGGACACCTATGAAACATACCACTCACTATTCAAAGTTTGGATGCCAACTATTGTACTCCTCTATTGATTGATTCTGTTACAGTGTGCCCTCATGACTGTGCCCATATCCACAGTAATCTGAGCTACCACAGGGAGGACTGAATAGAAAATGTAATTCTATGGAGGATTGTGGGGAAAAGTAAACAAGGCTGCTCTGCAATCTATATGACATTTTCACACAGCGAATGCAAGAATCCAAACTTCAGAAATGACAACAGATGAGGTTTTTTTTCAGAACTAAAAAAAAAAAAAAGAAACATACTTTCAAGTAGAACAGACATATTTCTGCCATGCACTGCAGAGACATCATTTTAAGTCTTGTTCACAATTAGAAGACAATGATTCTTGATAGGCCATGACAGCAGAGTCACACTGCCATATAATGATGCCAGCATTCTCCTCTTATTTAGCCGTGATATTCCTCTGCTTACTTCTGTCACAGCTTCAAGTGTTTTGATTATTAGATGTTCATTTTTTGAGCTCATACTTTTAGTCACTCTTGCATGAAACTTATTTTTAGCTGCTAAAACTTATTCCCAATTAGTTTATCTACTTCCATGCACAGTGACTTTAGCAAATATTTATTCAAAGCTCCTGTGAGGAGTTTGAGTGATTATTAAACAGACTAAAATGAACAGTGATGCCGCTTTATGACCTAAAAACAAACAAGACCAGCGGAGACAAAACTGACAGTTTTATTAGGTAATTTTTAATCAAAGTTATCACTACTAGGGGGTAAGTGCCAGACAAGATAATAAAGCATGCTGTAGAAACGGCTTTTCCCCCTTCCTCTGTGGTGAACACTCACAATGTGAGATTCATTTCACTGTTAAAAGACAGAATCATGATAGAGGCACCACTGGCCTAACCGTCTAGGTGTGCACACCATATGCCCGCCTGTGAGTCCTTCCCTGCATGCCAATCCCAACTTTCCCTCACTATTTTCTTATTTCTTATTTGCCCTGTCAAACAAAGGTGCAAAAAGCCTGCAAATAACTATATATATTTCTTGAAAGACAGCATGATGAAACTTATTGATGTCATACAATTCACTCATGTAGAGGACATGATTCCACATGTTGTCTTTTATTAACTATGCCTTTAACTGCATCTAGTTTACCTACGTAGACATAAAATCAAGTCTGTTTTTCTTGTTGTTAACATCCCAAAACCTGCTGATACAAAGTCAGTCACAGATTTCTTAAATGTCTTTTTGAGATTTTGAAAATCTGACCTTAAAGCTTCTGTGAGGAATTTTGAAGCAGGTGTGAAACTGAATAAAAGTAATACTGATGCCTCTTTGTGACCCACTAAGGCAAATGATGGACCTGCCTGAGGTCTCCGTACAAACAAGTGGCTGCTGGAAGAGAGTAGGTGAGTTGGGTTTAGTCTCTTTGTTAAAAAAAATCAGGCAAAGCTAAAAAGATGTTTGGTGGCTAGTACTGTGGGTGGGACCCTATATGAACTGTTGATGAAGTTCTGAGCATTATTTGTGGCTAAAGAGTGGCTTTTTGGTTGAGTGCATGGCTCCTGGGACCACTGTGTACTGCTATTTTGTTACTAAAAGTTGGTGTAACTAGAGAAGCAAGCAGTCGGAATATCCCTTTAAGTAAGGCCAAGAGCGCTGTCATCTTGTTTTTTGGCAGATTTTCATAGACCATAGTTATTTGATGCTGTGGGCCACATAGTGCATCATGGGTAATGCAGTTTTAGTGCTTTTATGAAACTTGTAATTAGAAGAGGGCACGAAGGGGAACGGTCTAACATCAGCCATTTCGTTTTCTTTAAGACTTGCTTGTGACTTTGATTTATTCTAACATCACCAACAAATATGCAGTATTTTATCTCAAGATTAAAGGCATAAATGTTTCTGTTTTTCTATGCATATGTCCTTGCTCGAGATGCCATAATTTTTCAGTTGGGGAAAATGTATGTTAAATAGGAAGTATCTTTGCTCGACAGAAATGTGTTTCTCTGCTGGAGTCCTGCTTCTTAGTACATGGCCTCACTCTTTTGCCAGATATCTTCAGAGATTCCAAATGCATGAAAATCAATAAAAGGAAATTTAAAAAAATAAACTGTTTATAACTCAGTCATCTTACTTTAACTCATTCATGAATGACACATGAGCAAGGCTGTTTCTACACAGCCAAAAAGACATTTCCAGACATCAGCATGAATGAGGAGCCTGTGATTTACATGTTTTTGCCCTGCAGTTACCTCATGGAGAGCCTGTCAAGCTTTCATGTGCCATTACAGATGCTTACCGAGTGGTTGTTTCCAACAACAGCAGCTTTGATTGATAGTATGTAAGACATGCTAGTTTCATTATGAATCCAACATGCCGTGAATATTTCATGAGTATCGAGTCAGTTCAGAGGCGATCCCTAAACTGTTCAGCCTCTCCCAGAGGACTGAGACCAGGAAGCTCACAGCAGGAGGTCTGAACTGAAGGAGTCAGACACTCACTGAGGCTCGATATTAACCAGAAGAGGTTACACTGTGTTCTTTCTCTGCCTCTTACAGACACATTTCTGATGCTTTTAGATTCAGTATTATCAGTGATTAAGCTCAAGTGACTCACAGAGAGACGAGCAGCAGAGGCGGGCCCTCCTTTGATTGTTTCCTTGTGTGAATTCTACTTTCCAAATATATACGCTATTAACCTATCAATTTCCTGTGCCTTTGTGTCTCAGAATAAAGTGCTGTCACTTTGTCGAAAAACACAATATATGCTACATTATTCACAAAAGGAAATGGGAGGCAATCTTTTGTTCTGGAGACACTGTGTCAAATCAAATCTCCATTCGAAAAATCTCACTGTTACGCTTTTTCTTCTTTTTGTTTAAATAACAGTTTAAGTGGAACGAAGACTTTGATTGCAAATAAGTTATCTGCATCCAAACACCGATTACAAAGGAAATGTTTTATTAAAGAGATGGTTGCATCAACAGTACACAACCAAGGCGCTGATAGACACAAAACTGGGGGAATCGATTAAATAAGATGCTTAACACCCTGTTTCCAATAGCAAATTACACTCTAGGAGTCCAAAAGAACATCTAAAACTCACCGTTTAATGTGCTATATCAACATGCTGTGTGCTGGCACACTTTTCAGTTCAGATTGTTGACTGCAAATCTATATCTCTCCTGGTTGTCAAGGAGTGAAGCCTAAACAACGTCTCAGCAGGCCCTATCATAATGCACTAATGATGCATTTCGGAGTCGGAGCATGGACAGCAGAAATCTGGCTGCACACAGGATTGGCATCACGCCCCTTTCCACAAACCAAAGCACACATTAAACTCACAAACAAAACAGCGAGGGCCCCTCTAGTCAGTACAGTCCACAGCAGAGGAGATTCATGTCTTAGGGTTATAAAAGGTTTGATGGCTTTTGTGGGAGTTTTTATTACGTTTTCTCTCACACATCATCCTTTACCTTACTAATCCTAAAATGACTTCTAACTTGTTTTCTTATAGTATATACAAGGTGTGACATTTAAAAATTGAATATGCTGAAAATTTAATCGGATAATCATGAGATTTTGTATCTATAATGTCCTCAAATTCTTAGCAAAAGAAGTCTGTATCACTCCTGTCCTGGAGTACAGCCTTAAAGACCTTAAAGCCTTTTTCTTGTTTTTTATATGTTCATATGGCATTTTTCTGTAGTACAGGACATATCATGAGAAAACTAAATGCAAAATTGCTTTTCTGAGTATTTCTTCATTGAAATCTCTGTGAATTTCTGGCAGACCCAAACAGCAGGTTCAGAAACAGTGAGATTTCATACGTAACCAATCCAAGCTCCGCCCCCGGAGCCCCGCTATGCAGGCCGGACTCTGTATATAGAGGAGAAATAGAGAGGATTGCAATGCTCGTAAGAAAGCCAATTATGATATTAACTTTCATCATGTCCCTAAAGACTTCAGTGTCTTAGAGCTGAATGGCTCCTATGTTAGCTGCCACTTTAACTTCATCGGCAATGATAGGCTGCAAGCTAACTTGAAGTCGAGTGTGCAGAGCAGCGCCGTCTCTGCCCACGACTCAGAGGTGAATTGCTAATGATCTACTGGAGCTCTGCAGAAGAGAAGCCCTTGAAAATGACACAGGTAACGTGATTTTTGGTAAAAACTTCATAATCACAATTTAAAGACCACTGAGAACACTTTAAGTAGTAAAAAAAAAAAAGATTAGAATGGGACTTGAAGAAACCAAAAGCCTGGTTAAAAACATGTTCACTAAAAACACAGAGACATAAAAGGTAGACCAGAAATTCAAAATACTGATAGCAGCAGCAACAAGCAGCAGCAGCAATGTGCTGTTTTCTCCTCCTTCATGCTCTTGCTCGGTCACATCATCTGACAGCGTGTCTCCTGCCTTCAAAACGGTAATGATACAGATAAATCTGTCCTCAAAACCCATGTGAGCTCAGCCGTGTCCCTCTAAATGCTTTAAATCTGTTTACTGAATACAAATTTCAAATGACCTTGTATGACTCTTCCAGCTTTTAAACACTTCAGATATTCAGCAGATCACTTCTGCTTTTTTACACCTGTTAAAAGGCATCACTTTATCTGTTAAATTAAGGACTCCTCATTTTTTGTTCTATTGCAACAGACCTTTGTACACCTTTGCAATTCATCTTGTAGCACAAAGGTGTAACTAATAACATTAATAACTGCCATGCCTTAATTTAGCGTATGCTCATGTTATTAGTTCTGCTGGTACTTTTCCCACTGTGACAATTTAAGCTGTCTGCTGGAAGGCATAAAGGCTTCTAAACAACAAGAGAAATTAAACATTAGCACTTTTGAATTAAAATACAGTTATTATTCCCTCTGTTAGGTGATCCTGTTTTAATTATCATTTTAAAAAAGGGTTTAATTTAGTGCAATTAACAGACCTCTTCTCTGTCCAGCTCTACTGATTATGTCTGCCAATAAACTGTATACAAAAGCTGGCAGATCAGAAAATAAGACTCATGGAAAATGGAGGGCCACAATGGTTTTCAGGGGGCCCAGAGCTCATCTGGAAGTATAACATGAGCAGCTATTTTACTTGGGTGAGGTGTTTTTTAAAATCCTGAGGTATCCAGGAGACATTCAAGTTTCATGAAACCCTGGGGTGAACCCAACAACACGCTGCAGGGGGAATTTGTTGCATATGCCGCAGTGATGCTTCAGGATGCCAAAGAAGACCCAAACACAGATGCTGTATTTCTCCTTTGTGGTTGGTGTTATTTTGAAATGACTTTATCCAACCCTCAGCTGCTTATATTACCCAGGCAACCACAGTATTGATATTCATGTTTACTCGATGTGCTTTTCACATCATGGCTGCGGTTTCTTGGATTCATTTTGCACTTCATAAGGACACATAAGTCTTACCTCATTTGATCTCTAAGATAGGGTCTTGTTTTCATTTATTCCAGGTGTGTTGTGGCTTTATAATTAGGTAATAAGCAGCAGACAAATGAAAATTGAGATCATTTGGCTTACTACAACTTCAGCACAACTAGCTCAGCATTATGTCATATCATACAGCAAACGTTTTCCTGAGGGTGAACCTTAAAAACCCCTAAACCATAAAGCCAAAGAACAATGCAGAAATAGATGTAGGGTCATATGATTAAGCCTTTTTTTGCAAGATCATCTTGACTGATACACTTTTATATTATATTATATATTACTTTATGCTCTGAATTAATACTCAAAATTACCTAACTATCAACATTCATTTCTAATAATGTTAAAATGGATTATTTATCCACATCACCAGCCATGTCAGTGAAACTTCTTTGTAGAAAAACTCTGCCTCAGAAACGATAAACATGCTTTTATTTTGATACTTTTTGTCTTGATTTTAGTTTGATTTATTTCCTGTGCTTTTATTTTGAAATGTCTTATTTTTGGTGCTTCTTAAGTTATGGATGCCAAATGAAAACAGTTTGAAGAACACTGAGAATGTACAAATTTTCATTTTAGTAGTTAACCGGGGAGGTGCCCGTTTTAACGTTGTTGTCTTGGAGTGTTTAAGACAGACGATACAGCGAGCCTCCAAGCAGTCCACTACTTCTTCTCCTTTCCCCTCAGCTGACAGATGTGTGGCAACTGAGGTAGTGGTCCACAATGAACTAACAGTGTAACTGTATGCAAATCTTTTTTTTAGCAGCACAAAATCGATACTTTGTTTAAAAGACAGTAAACCATCAATAGCAGTACAGACTAAGTTTATGTAAAGCTAACATCTGTGTGCAAACCCCAGAATAAACGAAAACAGTTTTCAATATCTTTCCTGTGTGTTGTGAGGGCAGTTCAGAGCTGTGGGTGTAGTTCAGGAAACCTGGGAGTTTGGAGAATCCATAATAACTACACCGAGCAGTGTTAGCCTGCCCATTTTAAAAAGCTTAAAATGCAGCAATGAGGTAACTCAGGATGACTTATTTATCACACACTTACTGTGGGAGAAAATGTCCCTCAAGCACCATCACAGTGCATGAGAAAAAGACTGTGAACACACCATGACACTATGCCAGCATCTTTTTGCTGTTGTATGTACTGTTTATGTCCTCATGCTGGTGTTGCAGGGGATTCATTTCAGTACAGAGTGTATTTATTAGAAATGAAATTATTCATTATGTATAACAGAATCCATTTTTTATTTACTTATCTTTGACTTTTATAAAGAACTGTGAGATGATAACCACAGAGAGTCACCATATTGTCATTTAAGCCAATATTTTATTGTTAAAGTCATGAATTATTTATACGAGCTCATTCAGCTTTAAATGGAGAGATTAAATGTCTTTTTACGGACAGACAAACATGGACGGATAGTTTCTCAAACCACACAAATGCATTGTAATATCAGCCATTTATCTCTTAATTTGTGAGCCAGTTTCTTCCTACTTCCATATTCATAGATTCACAGGGCAGAATAGACACCTCTGAGTGGATTCTGAATTGATTTTTTAAATACATTCATTTTGTTTCTAATGAGCAGAACGGGAATCCTCTGCAGACAGACTCCAGGTTTTGAATTCTAATTCAGCCTTCCTCATATTTGCATGATGTATCTCTGTTGGGCCTGGAGGCTCTCTTCTCTCACTTAACAAGCTGTGCGATAGCCTCAGAGAGGTAAAACTCTGACTGGTGTAATTTGTTTGTCCTGAAGACTGCTCACAAAATGAAAAGCCTTTTTGACATCTGGGATTGGCAGCAGAAATTAAATCATGATAGGGTATTCACACACAACCTGTAAACAACCCACTGTTCTTTGTTATCGAGCCTGTACTGTCCATTTTCCATGAGTTATCAATCATGTTAAGTAGAGTAAATGAAAACAAACCTGGATCTGCACATTTCAGACAATACTGAACCAAACGGAACAGGACACATGACTTAAAGACACGACTCTGTAATGGAAATCGCTGCATTGTCTCAAAACAATCTTCTCCAAATGAAGTTTGTCCCTGCATCCACATGGATTAAAACTGTACCATGCAAAAACAAACTAACTTTATATTCTTTGTAATTAACTTCTAAAGTTTGCCCACAGCTCCATAGGAATTGCTGGAGGAGGCGGGATTTGTGACCTATACTGCAGCCCGTCACCAGAGGGTGCTGTTCTCGGGGTGGCTTCACCAAGCGAGAGGGCAGACAACGTCCATTCTATATACAGTCCATGTTCATAAGTCACCAACCCTGACGCTAAAAGAATGCACGAGTGGCCATTGCTTACACATATAGGAAGGCTCTGTTGATTGTAAATGGTATATTTCTGCAGCAACAAACGTTGCTACCCAGACAATAAAGTTTGGTGCTTCATTGATTTGACAACAGCCCTGACCGGTCATCCATTGGAAGCATTTGGGGCATCATGAAATAGATGCAGTTTGCCCTATCTGACATATAGTAATGGTTGCTATATCAACTGACAATTGGCCTCTGACATCTGACCTGACGACATCTAAAGAGTTTCTGCACCCCGCCTGTGCTTCAAACCTCTACTTGTTTCCATTGGAGAGAAACCAAAGTAAAAATGTTCTTTTGTTTTTTAAAATGAGGATATATTTGGAAATTGACTTAAAAATAGATTACAATCCTTGATTTTTACACAGCTAAGCATATTATCACCCAGAGCAGCTCGGAATTTTTTTTGCCAGAGTTCGGAGTTCTCTGACTCCAATCGGAGTTCTCAAACTCTGATCATAGTCCGCCTAAGGTGTTTACATGCACTTCAGTTATCCGGTCTTAATCAGAGTAAGGCAATAATTTGGTTCTCTTGAGTTTCATGTAAACGTACTGACTGATGTTCACTGACAGGTTTTTGAAACATCCATAGAGGAATCCCATGAATAAGGCTTTGGCTCCACAGACACACTCCTGACAAATAAATGCTGTCTTTTCCTGTGTTTGATGTATTGTAACGGATGTACCTGCATGTATCTCTCCTGTAAAACAAACTGAGCTGCTTTCACATGTCAACATCAAAGCCAGCCCATGAAAGGTTGCAGCCACTTCATCAGCTCTATTTACACTTTGATGACACACTAATGGATCACAGTGTTCAGACAACATTGAGCCATTACCTGCTCCACTAAATCACATGAATCTGTTGTCAGGCTGTAGGAAATGGAGTCTGAGTCTTTGTTTTGCTGAAGTTGAAGCATAAAATAGCAGCTCGGTCTGAGCGTCTGAGTCTTATTTGGGAAACCGAACCCTACTTGTGGTGGCTCAGTGTTTTCCCATCTGTGGAATGAGGTGCAACATCAGCACTAAGCTACCTCGCTGCACACTCACAGATGATTTAACAGCTAGCTCTTAAGCGCAGCCACGGATTAATAGAGCTTGACACAAAGCCTTTTCACTGGCTTTATCTGTTTCTCCAAAGCTTGGGGGAACTGAGCACTGGTGCTTTTCCCAGCGTGACACCAGTATCATTTGTGCTGTTTCACACTATTTTCTTTTCTTTTAAAACTTAAAGGTTTATGCTGCGCTGGCAAGCATTGCAACAGACTAGTGGCAATTTCCTTCCTCAGAGATTCACATCAAAGAAGAATTGACTCCTTTGCCCAAAGATTAGCCTCAATCAAGTCCCAATTTAATGCAAAGCCTCTGTGGGTCATCTAAATTTGTGGAGGACCCGCAGACACAAGAGTTTGTGGTGATGCTGCATTGGATTAGGGGAGGTTATCAGGGCTGACTTCCTAATCCACTTGTTTACAGCTCCCCATTTTTGTTCTAGATACCCAGAACGGTAAATTGAAGCTTTGAAATTTGACACAGCTCAAAAATATAAACACTAAACTTGAAGGAGGTTTGGGGATTTGGGGAGCTATTGAGGTCTGTATCTTTAATCTGTGTGCACCTGATACCCTGCATTTTCCATCAAAACCTCAGCAGTGGAAGAAAAAACTGCTCAGACCCGGCAGAAAAGTAACAGCAGAGGAGAGCAGAGTTGCTCGACAATTTAACCCTGCTATCCATTTAGTCATGAACAGAGACGTAGATAAATCAGCAAGGGTTGTTCCCAATGAACTGAACATCAAGTTAAAAGCTGCATAAAGTCTGACTTTCCTCCTACTTCAGAAAGAGGTTATATAAAGTAAGCAAGGTGCTCTGTGGCAGCTGGGGATGCCAACAATCCGGTCTAACATGGATTCAATCAGCAATACACACTATTAAAACTCCTGTTTACACACTTGGAGCACATATCACTAAGACTACTGTGATACTGAACCCACTATGTGTGAACCTGTTATCAAAAGAGTACACTCGTTTGGTTGTATGGCAGGGTTACATTAGATCGTAATCTAAACATTATTTGTAAAAGTTCCACAAATAGGCTTTTCCAGACACAGTTCTAGTGTTTGTGAGGTTTTCATCAACTCTGTCAGCATCCATAGTGTTTAGTCTTTTTTTTTTAACTGTAACTAAATACACTGATATTACATTTCAATGTTTGAACTACTGCTTGAAATGCATGTAATTATGGAGAAATGCCATCAAATTCATGATTTCTGTCCTCATTTCAAGACTAAAAGTCATTAAAATTTAGCGAGAGGACTGTTTTGTGAGACATGTTAAAGCCTACTTTCTACTGATTGAAAAGAGGTGGAAATCATGTCTTGTCTTGTGTGTGCAGATTTGATTTCAACCAGTTTCAACCAAATTTCACTTCATCCTCACTGGGAGCTAACCCAAGCAGGGCTTTAACAACAAATGCAGCCTTAGCTGGTTTTATCAGTGAGGCAACTCGAAACACATGCAGGGTTTGCTCTTAGAGGCTTTAATCCATCACTAATTCATCTTAATCGATTGTAATCTGCCATTTATTTATATTTTTGATCAGAAAAACTACAGTATTTCCTTAAAGAGTGTGTTGCCATGGAAGAGTAATTGACATAAATTGCATAAAATGGAAAAAATACAAGAACCACAACATAACTGCATAAGTGGAGCTGTATAAACGAGGAGAAATTGCGTTGTATTTTTTGAATACAATACACAAAGTAACAAGCTGAAGCATTATACTTACAAACTTTTTCCAGGCAATGCTTTTTTGTTTCATCTGTCATCTTTAAAATACCCTT